TTGTTATTCCTTTTTGTCTGATGCCATGTCTCTTAGGCAACCATATAGATTGCCATTCCCTTAATTTATCCTATACATGGAGTCACCTCCACTTGCTGGTACATATCCACATTTCTTAATATGCCCTTGTTTGGGCTCCACTAAAATCAAATTTTGGGAAAAATGTATTTTGAAATAGTAATTTTTTGAAGCACGTGTGGTAAAAAAGTTCCGGATTTACGTGTAATATTATTTTTTGGAGAATGTGTAGATGAAAAAAAGAGGGAAATGCATTTTGAATAAAATGGAGCCCAAATAGGGGCTTTATTAAATCTGGTAGGCTATTTATATATTTTAATGTTCTCGTGTTTGTTTCATCTTAGATATATATGACTTTGTTAATGGCTCAACACTCAATACCAATATACAGATGTTCATGAACTAAATGATGTTATACATAACATATTAAGCTTTCACATATTTTTATCAGAAAAACAGAAATCAACTATATAACACTAAATCTTAAGAACCTATAGGAGTTGGAACATTCTGGATCATAACCCCAATATATGCACTTTAAATAAACTGATAATACATATAATTGACATGCATTCACCACAATTCAAGCCCAAATCCTGCAGATGTCAATGCTTAGACAACTAAATACAATAACATGCAAGTCATATACTATAAACAAAACAAATATACATACTAGAATAAATGGAAAATCTGTGAGACCCCAACCCAATATCTGTCAGCATCAAGTATTCTAACCCCATTTAAAATTTATTTAGTTTATATGCTGTGACAATTCCTTTGTAAAATTCTTCGAAGTGGGGAGGTCTTCCCAGTTATATTGTATAACTGAGGGAGGATTGGATCTGATTTGTTCCCAGATTCACTCAGGATGTGATATTTAGCTGTTCTAGCGTTAGATAAAGCACAGCTTTCTACCCAACGTACAGAAATAGCAAGTTTTTACTTAGGTCGAAGATGCACAAGTATACTTCAAGAGAATATGCCAAATATAGAGCACATCATGAACTGAGGTTGTTAAACAAAAGATTCATTGGATTTATGGACATTTGAGTATAAGTCTTACTGTATGTGTCTAAGAAGTTTTACATAGTAGATATGGACATTTGAGTATAAGTCTTACTGTATGTGTCTAAGAAGTTTTACACAGTAGATGCCATGTAAACAAAATTACTAAATGAATATTGTCATGCATTCTTTCAGACATGTCATTTGAAGGCAGTAGAGTAGGAAAGTCAGAAACCTCAAGTATCATGACATACTACATAACAAGGATAAAACATTCTTGAGGATAAAGATGAATAAGCACGACATTACTTTAGCAAGTCCATAAAGAATTGTATTGTAGATACACGATCAAGGCTCCACTATTATTACTTTTTGAGAATGTTTGCATGCAAATGTATCAATACAACAGCAAAGAGCATATAGGGGCAGAAGGTGCACAATGATGAATAACATTGTCTTCATCAATTGAAAAAACCTGCTCAAGGATTGTCTTCACTCAATTGTCCCCATCCACTACTGCCCCTGATGTACTTATCAACAATGCCAAACTCTTCATTCTGGGCAATCCTCTGTGCATAGTTCTCTGCTGCAATAGGGCCCTTTCGAAGTCTCCTGTAATATATAATTTCCCAAGGCCACAAGCGAGCAGAACCAAAATAAGCTTCCAGAGAAAGATTCTTTTCATTTTCCTCGGGGTGCTCCAGGCCATAGTGTTTCAGGACCATGTACATTTCCTCCGTGGACGTCATTCTCATCGAGTTGGCAACATTTGACCTAGTGGATGAATCAAAATCTTGTGCCAACCCATGCTCTGCCATGAGACTCTCATTTGGAGGTTCTCCTATCTCTTTCTGACTGTGCACCAACAAATTATCCGCAACATGATCACCATTGCCTGACTTTGGTATATGTGATTCTAACACTTCATGTGAACCTCTGGAGACAGATTGATTGAGTGAATCATCCCTCTGGGAGAGATATTTTTCAGTTTCTTTTTCTACCTTAGAGGATCCTGCTGCATACTCATTTTCCATTGCCCCTGAAATATTTTCAGATGTAGAGATATGCCCACCACTTTTTGGCAGTTTTTCTGTTTCAAATAAATCTTCATTAAACACAGGACCAGCAGCATTTAGCACAGAAGTATTGTGATCTGTATGCACTTTATTTGGAGAGAAAGACAGAGTCTTACCAAGAACTACAGGTCCAGAATGACGTGACGTTGAAGACCTTGAACAAGAAGATGGGGAACCTTTTGTCGATGGCCCTGATTTGGACTTGGAATGTGATGGAAACCCAGATAAAGAACTTAATGCTCTTAAAGGTGACTGTGATCTGGATACAGAATAATCAGAAATGACTGAAGACAATGATGCCTCCCTTGCTTTCTTTGATTGACGTCTTTCAAAATTGTCATGATATATACGTTCTCGTTTCTTTCCTTCACTATCATTTCTTCTACCTCTAGTCGTTCCCTTTGCCATGGAAGAATCACTTTGTCTTGGTAAACTCAGATGATTTCTAGAAGCGGATAGCTCCATATCAGTTTTCAGCCGCCTTTTTAAAACAGGATCATTAGCTGGGGGCGGCTTTTCTTGGGACCCGAAACCAAACCTCTTCAGCTTTCGGGGACACATGCTCATTTTGTGGCCCACTTCCCCACATATATAGCAACCCTTTCGAGATTTTTGATTGTTGGGATGTTCTAGAGTTTCCTTAATGTCATTTTGTCTAGTTCCTACTCTCTCTATAGACTTCCTTATATTGGGTGAACCACTCAAATTATTTTGGTCTTCATCCTGCTCCTTTTTGTCATCACTCTGGTAAGGTTCGTAACGGTCAAAAAACAACTCATCCTCTATCCTATTTTCATTTGATGGATCCACAACCTGCTCTCCCCACCTATCATCTTCCATATGGTTCCTTTCAGAGCCTCCTTCATGAAAGTCATCCAAAGCAGTATGATCTTTTTCCCCTACATGGGGTTTCACATTTGGATGGTAGCTTGTTTCTTCATCAACCAGGTCAGAAGAATCAAACTTTTTATCTTCACCGTCTGGTTGCTTGAAATCCGTATTGTAATCTCGTTGACCATTTGAACCCAATCCTTGATCGTCATTTTCATTCCTAGAATACCTTCTGCGTTGTAACTCATAGGACTTACCACTTCTGGTAGATCTCTGTAAGGCTTGAGGCTGCTTATTCGACCATGATATGGTTATTGGCTCTCCACAAATTCTCTTACCTCGAAGATTTTTCAGAGCTTTCTCAGCAACTGCAGGGTAATCATAAACTACAAATCCATACCTGTCTTTCACCCGTATAGTACACCTACCAAACCTCCGAAAAACAGATTCAAGGTCACCTCTAGTAATGCGAGAAGATAGATTTCCAAGATATAAAGACATCTGTAAGCCAAAGTACTATAGATTACATCACATGCATTCATGTAACAATTACAAAATATACACGGAAAGGCATCACATATAATGCACATATAGAATACATGTGAACAAATGAAAAAATGAATATTCATTTCAGCACAAGAAAGGTTTAATCTGAAATGTACAACTATATACTCCGCCCAGTTATGCTACTCCAAATACATCAAAAAAGCCAACGCACTAAGTGGAAAAAGGTATAAGCAGCTGCTTGATATTACATTTTGAATTACTCTATGCTAAATAACTTATATAACCTTCTATAACCTACAGGAAAATGAGCCAGCGCGTCAGAATTTACAATCTCATATCATCCTATTCACAAAAGAAATGGTAACATAGCTACATATAAGACAATTTTACAGACAATCCTATATCAGCACATGTTTCTGTGATCCATAAGCACGACAAATTCTACTTCGGGACAGTTGTGGGTCTCGCCTATTATTAAGAGAGTTCAGAACTCAGAAATGAAAAACATGAATATTATTGTTTTCACAATTCCAAGTTGAAAGCCCGGATTCCGGGCAGGTAATCAAAGTCGCAATTTTCATGCTTTTTTAGAAAAAGAAAACCTAGCATTAAAAAAAAAACTTTGAAAGTAAGAAAGAACAACCAAACTCAAACACCAAGAGAATCTCTATTTTTCCTTCTTTTAATCCGCAAAATTTCCTAACCCACGTATTTTTCCCAAAACTAACGTTAATTACACAAACAAATAGATGTCTACGAAAAAGACCCAGATGCTCAAGTCAAAAACCCATTTAGATTGAACTCAAGAAATGAACATTTAAGAAAACTACGCTTGATTAATGATTCCCGGAAAAAATAAAAAATTTCAAGATGAACAGTAATGACAATGACAAACTTTACTAGAATTGTGATGTGTTCAAGAAGAGAAGAATCTATTTGGAAGTGTACGTTACCTTGAAAACTTGATGTCAATAAGCAGTCGTCGCAGCTGTGTTAGATCTGCTGCCGTTTCGTGCAGCCGGTGTATCACTTTCGATTGTGGGAAAATAGAAGGCAGAGCATTTCTCTCTTGCTTTTGTTATGACTTTTGGCTTTTCTACGCCTTCTCTGCCCTTCTTTTCATTTGGGTTACTTTCCCATGCCATATTGAGTTAATTGTTTGAAGGACACTGAACTTTTGAGAATGGTCACGTTTCACTCAATGAACTTCAAATTGCACCACATTACTCATTCAACTTTAGTCCGTTGCACCCCATTACACACCGGACAACTTCCATTTCTAACTCATGCCTACGTGGATGACGGAATGTACACGTGGCTGTTGAATCTCTCCAAAATAAAAATCAAATGCCAGCTCATTTAAAGTGCAACTCCCAAACACGCCTCAGCCAAACCAGAATTAAATCGTGCACTTTGAATGAATTCCCAAAAATTGAAAGTCGAGATCCTTTCTAAACCCCAAACCCTAAACCCCAAATTGATTTTGCGCCCACAATCGAAGCTTGATTATTGAAGCATTTCTACGATTAGTATGGTGAAGATAAAGATGCACTCAAGGAAGGAATGGGCGAAGGCGTGGCAGCGATGGCATGCATGACCCATTTGACATCTTTCGGTCCATCTTCAAAGTGTAATGGCAAAGGATCAAAAGTTGGAGCTTCTATGAAGTGCTCCGGATGTCAAGGAACTAGTATGAAGTTAACAATTAGGCAACTTGGCCCAAGTATGCTTCAGCAGATGTAGCATCCTTGCAACGAATGCAAGGGAATATGAGAGACTATTAATGATAAAAGAAGTGCAAAGATGAAATGGTTGTGCCAGAGAAAAAATTTTTGGAAGTCCACGTGGAGAATGGTATGCAGAATGGACAACAGATTACATTTCATGGAGAAGCTGATGAAGCTGTGAATACATCTTTAATATTTAAAGAAAGGAAGGAGATTCATGAATGTATTCCACCTATGTAATTGATTAGAATGTAATCTGAACAATCTTCTTTGAATGTCTGTATTTATTTTGCTACATTTATCAATGACAGAGAAATTTCCATGGTGATGCTCTTCGAATGTCTGTATTTTTTTGGGTTGCTGTTTTTGTTCGAATGGTCTAGATGTTGTTGGTTAGTAAATTCAACAATCAAGCTTTGATTGTGGGGGCAAAATCAATTTGGGAGTTAGGGTTTAGAAAGGATCTGGACTTTCAATTTTTGGGATTTCATTTAGAGTGCACAATTTAATTCTGGTTTGGCTGAGGTGTGTTTGGGAGTTGCACTTTAAATGAGCTGGCATTTGATTTTTATTTTGAAGAGATTTAACAGCCACGTATAGATTCCGTCATCCACGTTGGCCTGAGTTAGAAGCGGAAGTTGCCTGGTGTGTAATGGGGTACAACGGATTAAAGTTCAATGAGTAATATGGTGCAATTTGAAGTTCAGTGTGTGAAACGTGACCACTCTCAAAATTCAGTGTCCATTCAAACAATTAACTTTGCCATATTTGTTGAGATATCAAAGGTAAATTGCAGCAACGGTCCCTTATCTTTTTATTTTTTGTAGACTTTACTTTAACCTTTATTTTATGTTAACGAAGGTCCCAAGCTTTTCATAAATATGCAACTGGAGTCCAAATAGATGAAAATTATTAATTTGACCACTAGTTGACAAATAAAATTGATTTTGATCAAATCCAAAATGGGCAAAATGGTAAATTCATTTTTTTTTTTACATAAAACAATTAAAAAATAATAATAAAAGGATATGTTCATCTCCCATTACCCCACCCCAACTTCACCCCACCAAAACTGAATGAGAACCAACCCCCCACCTCCTCCTTTTTCCATAGCCACAACTTGTCGCTACCACTCTCTACCGCCACAGCCTTCGCCTTCCCCACCAATTTCTACCTCCACCTCCATCCCAAAACAAAACTAATTTCTCTTTCACAGCCACAACCTGTCGCTCCGTTTCTGCCATCCCCACCAACCATTTTATTCACCATCAAACACCTCATATGCATCCTGCAATCTTTCCATTTTGATAGAATGAATTGTTCAATGTAGTGAATGTAGCAACATTGGGTTGGAACCCATTCTTCTTATAGTAACTAGTTACCAAAATTGAGTGTGCAATTATCATAGGCTAAATCGACAAATGATAATTTGGATTTTAATTTTGACGCTAATTTAAACTCATTATTATGACCAAAGCCATAACAAAATGGTTGAATTCTGAAATGGTTGGTATTTTACCATCTCTCTTGAATTTATTCGCAGCGTCATTTTTTTTTTTTTAGAAGTGAGAACTGCTGCAATTGTTTCTAGAAAATCTTGGAACTCTTGGCAAAAAATGGGTTACCTTTTGGGCTTTGAGCAGAGTTAGGAAGTGCTACAGAAATGAGAAAAATACCTTGCTGGGACCTGATGTTGGTGCGATGAAAGGTGTGGTGGTCGTGGTAGGGATCCCAAATAGAGGTAATTGCAGTGGGAAAGGTGTGGCGGTCATAGCAGTAGGCGATGGTAGCTCTAATTTTTTGTTTGGGTGGGAAGAGTGGGGATGGGGTGAAGAAGGATTTGAATAATGATGTGATCCAGGATATGAGGACAAGTTCGGGTCGTTGATCCTTGAGAAATGGCCTATGACTAGGTCGTGAGTGAATCGGGTCAAAGAAGCAATGACGAAATATCGATCACAATAAGCAAAGGAACAAGTTTTACGCTGGTTTGGAAGAAGAAATACGATGGATCAACTTGGTCCAAGAAGCGGACGAGAAAGCTGAAGAGGGTAACTATGTGACCGCATAGTTACCCTAGGCATACAACCACATGCCTCTATACCAAGACTCAAAGGAGGTTTTTTTGGAACTATGAGACCGCATGTTCCAACACTATGCGGCCACATAGTACAAGTTCGGCGGTGAATTTTTCAATTCTTGGAAAGAATCTTACTTTATTTAAAACTCTAGTTTTATGATAATTTTTGATATTTTGAATATCAATTCCATTTTAACTAGATTTTATGGGTTCCATATAAATAGAATTCATTCCATACATTGTAAAAAAGACACAATTTATTGAGGGNTGAAAGGCATATTACTTTCTTTTTATTCTTCATCGAATTAATTCTAAACTTATCAAGAATTAAGTTCTCGTGGCATTCATCAAATTAAATAAGGTTCATAAGTTTTGTGATCACGGGTCAATATATTGTCGGTGATTATGCTGGTTATTTGATTCAATAATTTATTGAGTAGAGCTTTCAAACGTTGATTTTTTATTTTCTTGGGTTGAATCAATTTTGTATGGATTTCGTAATTTCAATTGTTGGGATCGCATCAAATATTTTTTTTCTTTTTATTTTGTTTTAGTTATTTTAATTGTTTTTCGGGTTTAAATAGCAAAGTTACCCTTTTACCCTTTCAATTTGGTCAACTAATGGTCAAATGAATGTTTTCCATCCATTTGGATCCCACCTGCATATTTATGAAAGGTTTGTGAGCTTCACTGGTACAAAATGAAAGTTATGACAAAGTCTACAAAAATTAGAAATGTTAAGAACTGTTACCACAATTTTCCTTAAAATCAATTTCAAATCAAGGTCAACAATTAATTTTAACCTCTCATATCATAGTATCCATATCTTTTTAGCTATACATTTCATCAGCTTTCATCAAAATTTGGTAAAATTATAATTTTAATCCCCACCAAACAGAGGTCAAATCCCTCAAAATTTTGTGAAAATAAATTTTTAAAGAATATGTATTTAAAAATAAGGAAACTTATTATTAGCACACCACATCTCGACAAGAAAGGAGTCTAAAAAATATGGAGACTCCAGCCATGCATTCCAAGAATATCAGTAAATCAATTGACTCATATGGAAATTCTAGCCATGCAGTCCTAGAATATCATTTCAAGATCAAGTAAATCAATTAGCTCCATATATGGAAACTCCAGTCATATAGTCCAAGAATATGAGTTCAAGATCAAGTAAATCAATTCTGGTAAAATGCATAGAAGCCAGCTTTAGAAACAAATCGATCAAGGATTGAAAAGCATATCAACATGATGATTTCCTGCTGATTTTATGGAAATTTGTTGGTTGTCTTTGTGTTTAAATATTGTTGTCTTGTATTGCCTTGCACTCACGCTCTTATAAATACAGAAAAAATTACAACCTCTTTTATCTTTCTTACTCTTTTCATATTTTCCTCTTGATATCAGAGCAAGTGTGAGTACACGGCTTAGCACACCACAACTCCTTCTACACCATAACTTTTGTGTCTCTCAACGTAGGAAACTTCATTACACTTAGGCTTACTCCAACCAATTATCCATTATGGCGTGTGATAAGTGTATTTTATACACCTATTTGAACTTAAAAATATAGATATTTAATAGTTCTTTTGAAAAATTATAGCCTATTTATTTTATATTTCGTTTATTAGGTGAAACTCGATGAAATGAAGTGACATTGAAAGAAAGAAGCGATCATTGACGAAAAATGATAAGATGCAAAGTTTGAAGACTAAAGTGCAAATACTCAAAGGTTATGTCAAACCTCACGATGAAAATTCGAGAATGCTATGGGTCAATTGGATGCAATTATAAATTGAAAAGGAGTGAAATATGATCAAAATATGGACGCAAATCAATTTTCAACCGTACAAATATGTTTCAGATTTTTAACTCAAGATTGAAACCCATTTTTGACCCAATAAATGTTCGAATTAGAATAAACCCATTTCAAGTAACGTTGTAGCCTCATCTTTATAACCCAATTTGAAAATCGAATATTGGGAGAGAAAATTGGGAGAGAAATACTACAAGAAATGCAATTCATATTTTCACCAGAAAGGTGGCATCGTGAATCACACAATATAGAGTCATGGTGCCACTCCCATGGCACTGAGGCGCTGTTTGGATGAATGTAGGGTGCATTTTTTGCTTGTTTTGAAGTCCATAAAAACCCTTTATTCGACACAAACGTGCGGAGGAGTATAAATACAAGTTTTTGACACATTTTGAGAGAGTTCCAAACATTACGGAGAGAAAAACACATAGTCATCATGATCTAAAAGAAAAAGATAGGTTTGAAGACTTTTGAAGTTGAAGAAGATTTTTGGTGCAAAATCCAATTCTTTCCATGATCAAAATTTCAGAATTTAGTTATGAATTCCATACTTTTTGTTTTTCTTTCATTATTATGAGTAGCTAAATTCATAGTTAGGGCGAACAATGTAATCTATGTGTGAGCCTTTATTTATTT